TTCTCTTCTGCTTTCTCTAGTCATTACTTATGCTTGGTGACTTGTACGTTTTTGGCAAACACACAGAAAATTCAAGGTCAAAGACAGTACACTACCACAAACAGGGATGCTTATGGACTACGTCCACATGATCAAGCAACCAGTTTAACTGGGTGAATCCTGGCTTTTGACGACCTGTAAGGAGTTAGTAGATAGTCTGAGAAATGGCTCTGGCTTTGTTTTGATTGCTCCTATAGGTGAATTTTAAAATTATCTTTGTTAGGTATGGTGGCTCATGCCTGTAATCTCAGTACTTTGGGAGGCCAAGACGGGTGAATTGCAGGAATTTGAGACCTGGCCAACACGGCAAAACCCCACCTCTACTAAAAATTAGTTGGGCGTGATGGTGCACTGTCTGTAATTCCAGCTACTAGGGAGGCTGAGGCATGATAATCACTTTAACACAGGAGGCGGAGGTTGCAGTGAGCTGAGATCATGCCACTACACTCCAACTTGAGTGACAGAGTAAGACTCTTTCTCAATAAATAAAAAGTAATATAAAATAAAAATTATCTTAATGGCCGGGCATGGTGGCTCATGCATGTAATCCCAGCACTTTAGGAAGCCGAGGCAGGCAGATCACTTGAACCCAGGAGTTTAGGCAGGGCAACACAGTGAAACCTCATCTGTACTAAAAATACAAAAATTAGCCAGGTGGGCTGGTGTGCACCTGTGGTTCCAGCTACTTGAGAGGCTGAGGTGGGAAGCTCGCTTGTATCTGGGAAGCACGGCTGCAGTGAGTAGTGATTGTGCCACTGTACTCCAACGTGGGTGACAGGGTGAGGTCCTGTCTCAAAAAAAAAAAAAATTATCTTGATGGCTCAATTAATTCCACACTTATGTTGGCTTTTTGGGGAGGAGTGGTGGCGAAGGAGATGTAGGTAAAAAAGGGGAGACCTTAATACAATACAGCAATAAATAGAACTTAGAGCTGGTTGCAGTGGCTCACACCTGTAATCCCAGCACTTTGGGAGGCCGAGGCAGGCAGATCACTTGAGCCCAGGAGTTTGAGACCAGCCTGGGCAACACAAGGAAACCCCGTCTCTACTAAAAATACAAAAAAAGTTAGCCAGGTGTGGTGATGTGCACTTGTGGTCCCAACAACTCGAGAGGCTCAGGTGAGAGAATCCCCTGATCCTGGGAGGTCATAGCGGCAGTGAGCCATGAACGCATGCACTCCAGCTTGGAGAACAGGAGTGATACCTTGTTGTTTTTTTTTTTTTTAAAAAGAAAAGTAACTTAGTAGCATTCCAGGCCAATATACTGGAGTTGCTTGGAAAAAACATAGTAGCTCCCAGTAAGTGGGAGGTAAAATACAATTTGATAAATATTTATGGAGAAGACTCTTCCCTTTGAAGGCTATAATGTTTCGTACTAATTCCCTGGGTTCTGGCTTCATATTCCTCTTCCAAACTAACTGACAGAGGCCAGGTGCAGTGACTTACATTTGTAATCCCAGCACTTTGGGAGGCCAAGGTGGGTGGATCACTTGAGGTCAGGAGTTTGAGACCAGCTTGGCCAACATGGTGAAACCCTGTCTCTACTTAAAAAAAAGAAAAACAAAACCAAAAACCAAACACGAAAACAAAACCCAAATTAACTGACAGAAATGTGACCATAATTGGATGAATATAACCATATAATCCTTTTTGATAATCTAGCTGCCTTTCCCTTGCCTATGTCTTTCTTGAGGTGCAGTGATTGTAGGTATACTTAATTTGATCAATTTCTCTTATAAAGGGTAGGCCTGAGTAAACTATGGGTCTCAGCCAGAACTGGCAAAAACTTAAAAACTCCTAAAGTTGTGCCATACCAATGCATTAAAAACGGTAAGTAAAACGATCGTTGGAGGTACTAAGAAAACAGGTCAGGTCAACAACAACAACAAAAGAAATGTAAAATACCTTATAATTATATATATTCAAACACATATTGTTCTCCCCAGATTAAACTTGCTACAACGGTAGTCTTACAAGGACAGTCTGCACTCAGGAAAGTAATTATCCCAAACCACCATTATAATTATCTTTACCTCACACACCCACACACAAATCTTAGATTTTATCTTTTTAAAACTTCTCCAAGAAAACCTGGCTACTGTTTTCTCTCTTGCGTTTGTTGATAACTCCAAGAAATCATCTATAATAAATTCTCACTTGCTTTTCTTCATAGCAATGTTGGGGCTAGGAAAGATATTAATAGAATTGGGCAAGAATTAATTTAGTGATTATCTGCAGATTTCAATAATCCTTATCATTATATTATTCTCTCTCTCTTGTTTTTTTCTGACCCTGACAGATGGAGGTATTTTCTCTTTCTTCACCATATGCCTTTCCTGAAGTATTTTTCATGTAAAAAAGCCAAACTATTCCATACTCAAGTAATAGCAGAATTTATGAGGATGAATTACTCATACATCAGACTAATAAGCTGCATCAAAAGTAACCAACTGTCAGAGACATAAAGGAGAAAACTACTTCAAACAACTACACTTAAAACTTTAAGTGCCTTCATTTATGAGGGGGCCAACCATCTAGACAAACAAGAAATGCTGCATGGAGTGACAAGTTTTTAAAAGAACAAAACAGAAGCTATGAATTAGTAGGAATAGCTTCTTTACTCACAAGCTCTTGGCTGAAAATACACATTTCAGAAAAAAGGACAATATCTTGGGAGCTGCCCTGAGAATCTTATTTTAACTGTACTTATGGAAAGAAAAAACAAAAACAAAAAACCTGTGTTTAATTCTAGTCAGAACAAGACAGAAAAAAGCTGGGGACAGTGACGTGCACCTGCAGTCCCAGCTACTCAGAGGATCGCTGGAGCCTGGGAGTTTGAATCTAGCCTGGGCAACATAGTGAGACCACCCCCTGCACCATCTCTTAAAGGAATAAGACAAAGAAATACTTTATCTCCAGATAATGGTTCAGGTCATCCCTTTCCATCATACATTTGATCTTCCTACATCACTCCAGCTTATTAAGCTGTTCAAACTGAGTAAAGGAGATGAGAAACCTGTTAGAACAAGACAGATCCTGGAGAAACTGATTACATGATGAATTATAGAGCCATTGAAGGCTATTATTTGCATGAGAAAATACACTAAAGTCAAACTTAATTTTTTAAATGCCCATTGTCCAATCCCTAGGTCACCCATGTCTTCTGGGTAATCATGAATGGACCTTGTAATTACCATATAAGCAACAAAATATAAAGGCAAAGAACTAGTTTAAATGTGAGAGAGGACACAGGTGATATATACTACATTGGGTAAGTTATTTTATATTTTAGAGCTTCATTTTCCTTAACTGTAAGAATACTGAATTATATAATCCATGAAGTTCCACCTAGAGTGTAAAAACACAAAGCTCTTGGGAGGCTTAGAAGCCTAGCATATAAAATGTAAAGCTCTTGGGAGATCTGAATATTTACATTTTCTGGCCAAATTTACCTTCATAGATACTTTTGGAATATATGTGTTTTGTGACAAATACGAGGAGAGAGATTGTAAACAAAACTCATACTTCTTTCTCAAAGTAGAAGAAGGGAAGAGATAGCTGGCTGCTATTAACCTTTAAGTGGTCTTAAATGCTAAAGCAAATCTTTTATGTGAATTAAGTCTCTAAGGCATGAAACCTTGACAAGTGCCACATAAAAGGACATCAGGGGAAATGGAACAAACTGTAAGATAAGATCAACTTAAAAATGATTTTAGGCCTGGCATGGTGGCTCATGCCTGTAATCCCAGTGCTTTGGGAGGCTGAGGTGGGAGGATCACTTGAGCCCAGGAGTTTGAGACCAGCTTGGGAAATATAGTGAGACCCCCATCTCTACAAAAAAGCAAAAAATTAGCCTGGTGTGGTGTCATGCACTTGTAGTGCCAGCTACTGAGGGAGCCCCTGAAGTAGGAGGATTGCTTTGAGCCTAGGAGGTTGAGGCCACAGTGTGTCACAATCTTGCCACTGTACTCAAGCCTGGGCAAGAGTGGGACTCTGTCTCAAACAACACAAAACAAAACAAAAAGAACCCAACCTACCTTCCTTTTCTACCTATTGTACTTTGTATTCCAGCCAAACAAGTCCAATGGCCAAAGTTGATATGCTCCTAGGAAACATCCCACACTTGTCTGGTATCTTTGCCTACATTGTTTCTTCAGTCTGAAATGCCCATCCTTACAATCTCTAGTGCAGAAAACCCACCTCATCCTCCAAGGTCTAGTTTTAAGATCTCTGAACATCCACAGTATATTGTGCCTTTCCTAATAACTCTACTGAAACTAGGTCTCACAAAATACTCTAAAATTTTTTTATGGTATTTTCAATCAGTGCCCATTTCTATCATCACACTGATAGAATGGTATTGAGAAATAGTAGGAGAAACAATTGAATGAAAGTATTCTAAAATTCTTTCTCATCTTTATCAATTGCAGACACTTAATGAGCCCCTCTTGGATGCCACTCTTTCTTGACTCAGCTAAGGAGAGAAGTCTGGCTTCAAACAATTTGGTCTGGAAAGAGACGGATGAGCCATTTCTTCATCTATATATAGATCGCCTGAAACTGAAACCTGAGTGTCCTGTCTCTTAATTTGTGGGTCACAGAATCCCACTAAGAATTGGAAAGACCTTAGCAGTCATTGCATAGTGCTCCTCAAGAATACACAAATTCTAAAATAACTGTTCAAATACCTCTGGGGACTTGTCAGACAAGCGTGTTGCTCCCTTCCAGAAATAGAAGGAAGCAAAATTCTCTTTCCAGTCAAGACAAATACAGAAGATGCCTCATAGGAATCTGAATCTTGCTAGTTGTCAGTGATGATGCTGATGAACCAGTAAACCAAGCTAAACCAGTATATGTACTGCAGATACTATTTGCATGTACTTCTCACGCTGTGGTTTGCTTCTTGGGCTGCACTCCCAAGAACTACTTTCTGCCTGCAAAAAGAAACCTAAGTATCTTTACCCCCAACTTCTGATGTTGACACACTGATTTTTAAGCTCACTATGTGGCATTTATTAATTCTTACAAAATCCATGTAGGTTTCAATATCAACCTATAAGGAATCAGATGCAAAAAGACTAGGTACTTGCCTTTGTGGGCCTACTCAAGAGGAGGAAGGCTCTCAGTAAAAATGTAAGCAAATAAATATATATAGGTAGGTATAATTACAATTTATGTAAGAGGTATGAAGGAAGTATAATGAACTGTGGCAGAGAATAACAGTGAAAGAACTAATTTAGATGGAGGGCAGGTGGGAAGAGAAAGAGAGGGGCTTTCTTGAAGGAGCTGACTTAGACTGATAAATTATTGGAGTTTGGTAGAAAGAAAAGGAAGATTCTTCTTCAGGGGAGAGAAGAAATAAGGGATCAAGGTCAATATGAAGAGAATATATTGAGTGAGCAGAGGAGAAGCCAATGAGGTTGAAGAGGGAGGCATAAGGGATACTCAGTTAAGAATATCTGGGTGTGTCCCCAGTATTTTGGAAGGCAGAGGCGGGTAGATCATCTGAGGTCAGGAGTTCGAGACCAACCTGGCCAACATGTGAAACCCTGTCTCTACTAAAAATACAATAATAAGTTGGGCATGGTGACAGGCACCTGTAATCTCAGCTACTCGGGAGGCTGAGGCAGGAGAATCACTTGAATGCTGAAAGGTGGAGGTTGCAGTGAGCTGAGGTCCCTCCATTGCACTCCAGCCTGGGCAACAAGAGTGAAACTTCATCTCAAAAAAATAAAAAGAAGAAGGTCTTAGGCTGGGTTTGGTGGCTCACGCCTGTAATCCCAGCACTTTGGGAGGCCGAGGCAGGTGGATTATGAAGTCAGGAGTTTGAGACCAGCCTGACCAATTGGTGAAACCCTGTCTCTACTAAAAAATACAAAAATTAGCCAGGCGTGATGGTGTGTGCCTGTAATCCCAGCTACTCAGGAGGCTGACGCAGGAGAATCACTTGAACCTGGGAGGCAGAGGTTGCAGTGAGCCAAGATCAGGCAACAGAGCGAGACTCCATCTCAAAAAAAAAAAGTTATTTTAAGAATTCTAAATTTTATTTCCACAGCAATTGGAAGCTATTTAAAAGTAATATGCAGGGACTTATATTTCCTGTTTAAGTTCTTCTTTGAGGCAGATTTACAGAAGGAAAAAAAAATCTTTATAGATTAAATTCTTACAGCTACAGCTGTTTAATCTGCCAGGATCCAGAATATCATTTGTTAAAACTTCAAAAGGATGAGAAGAATCATCTAATTTCTGGGCATAAAATGATTGAGGGGGACAATTTAAGAATATTCTACAAAAACTAGTGAGAAGAATTTATTTCTGGATTTTAAGAGCTTCTAAAGTTACATGCCACTCTTTGCAGGTAAGATTTGATCTTACAGACTATTTTTGGGGTAGGAATTTAAAAAGTCTGGGGTCCAAAGGTATTCAAATCCTGGCTCTACTAATTTCTAGCTGAGTCTCCTGGTGATATTTCCTATAACTGTAATCCCAGCACTTTGGGAGGCCAAAGCAGGTGGATCACGAGGTCAAGAGATCGAGACCATCCTGGTCAACAAGGTGAAACCCCGTCTCTACTAAAAATACAAAAAATTAGCCAGGCATGGTGGAGTGTGCCTGTAATCCCAGCTACTCAGGAGGCTGAGGCAGGAGAATTGCCTGAACCCAGGAGGCGGAGGTCACGGTGAGCCAAGATCGCGCCATTGCACTCCAGCCTGGGTTACAAGAGGGAAACTCTGTCTCAAAAAAAAAAAAAAAAAAAAAGTCCCATGGGTTTTTAGTTTTGCAACAGGTACTACAAATAGAGATTCCTACAGGGATTGTGTCCAGATTTCAATAGCATTTCAGTAAAATGACTCAAATTTGGTATTTGCTCAATAAATAAATCAATAAATATGATGAAGGCAGACTAGCCTCTGGGAGGGACATGGGCAGCAGACACACAGCAAGTTCTTAATAAACTACACAATCGATGTAAGACACCCTCAACAGTGATCTAAACAAACTCCCTTTTTGTCGCTCATACCTCTTCAAAATATTAGTGATTAAGATTTGTGAACTCCAGACTTTATTTATTTTTTAACTAAAAAAAAAATTTGAGACAGAGTTGCACTCTGTCACCCAGGCTTGAATGCAGTGTCACGGTTTCTGCAACCTCTGCCTCCTGGGTTTAAGCGATTCTTGTGACTCAGCCTCCCAAGTAGGTGGGATTACAGACGTGTGCCACCACACCTGACTAATTATTGTATTTTTAGTAGAGACAGGGTTTCATTATGTCGGCCAGGCTGGTGGTCTTCAACTCCTGACCTTAGGTGATCCACCTGCCTCAGCCTCCCAAAGTGCTGGGATTACAGGTGTAAGCCACTGTACCTGGCCTGTGAATGCCAGATTTTAATGCCCTGCTTTAGAGATAGTGAAAACACACTAGAGTGAGTCAAAGATCTGGATTCTTGTCTCAACTCTATCACTTTGAGTTCTTTTGGGGAAACAGCTATGTCAGGGTTTAATCTCAGCATTACTGACATTTTCAACTGGGTAATTCTTTGTTGCCTGAGCTGTCTTGTGTATTGTTGGATGTTTAACAGTATCCCTGACCTACCGACTCAGTGCCAGTATCACTGCCCCAGTTGTGACAAACAAAAACGTCTTCAGACATTTCTCAATTTGTCCTATCCCCATGAGAAGCACTTTCATACTCTGAGTTTCAATGTCTCATCTGAGACTCATGGAAACATGGAGATAACATCTATTTTGTCCTCCTTCAGGGTTACTATATGATTCAAATAAGATAATGAATGGGAAAAATGAGGGCAGAAAAGACCATATATGTAAAAGCCTTATTATTACTCTGTGACAGTATTAATATTATTATTATGCTCTGTGAGAGCTCAACAAAAAGGTTAAACCATCATATCTTGTTTACAGAATTCATTACAAGGCTTAGGTCAAGGCTATATGCAATCTAATATACCCTTTAGGTGGCTATTCAATAAGTACTTGTTGAGTGGTTGATTCTAAGTCTAGGTCCAACAGTAACGTCATTTACTCTTGTGGCATGTTCTCATACACACCTTTTCTGAGAATTGCTGAGCCACAACACTGTAGTATGTTTCCAAACTTAACTCCACTTAAAAGAATAGGCCTAGATTAAACAAGAATAGCTACTCATTTTTCAGATGGAAAACTGAGGTATAAAGGTTAAAGGACTAGCCAAGGTCACAGGGCAGTTAGTCTAGTGGTTGTCAGTCATTAGAAGCCTGATTCTGATCTCAAGCCCAGTTCTTTTTTATTATTTGCAGCATGGTCTTTCTATCCAATTATCTCCTGTATCCATGTTCCTAGTGTGTCTTAATACAGTTAGGTTTTGTTTGTGTTCTAAGGGCAACTCAGAAAAATGGAAGCAAGGAAACAGCTGTAGTTTTGAGAGAGGTTTGGAAAAAAAATGTAGACTATTCCTATTGAGGTACGACTGAATATTCTTTACATTCAGGGTAAACCAATGTCAAGTTATCCTAGTGCTCTGACAAGTCTATGAAATCCTTGCCCATTAAGTTGTCCAGGAGGAGCGAAATCTAATCGTTACCTCCTTCCAGGGCAGTTGTGTCTTGCAATGCTTTATGCCATGCTTCTGGCATACAATGTGCCACAACTGTCATCTGCAGTATTCTTGGCTACTCTACCTCTAAGTGGGTCTAAGTGGGTGAAAATGGACTTCCATACAGCCCCAAGCTTTAGGCCACATTTTGGCATTCTGTAAATAATGCACAGGCTAGACGTGGTGGCTCATGCCTATAATCCCAGCACTTTGGGAGGCCAAGGCAGGCGGATCACAAGGTCAGCAGTTCAAGACCAGCATGGCCAACATGGTGAGTGAAACCCCGTCTCTACTAAAAATACAAAAATTAGCCAGACACGGTGGCAGGTGCCTGTAATCTGTTACTTGGGAGGCTGAGGCAGGGGAATTACTTGAAACCGGAAGGCAAAGGTTGCCATGAGCTGAGATCAAGCCACTGCATTCCAGCTTGGGCAACAAGAGTGAAACTCTGTCTCAAAATAAATACATTTTAAAAATATATTAAAATAATGCATGAAAGCCCCAAATGCCTTTTTACTGTATGTATTTTCAGGGTCAGAAACAGATCTTTTGAGAATAATTCATAAAAATGTCACCATTTATTCTACTCTTTTCGAATATCAGATCATCTCTGATTACGATGGCTTTGTGTGAACTTTCAAATGCTGAATGTTGTCACACTCAAAATACTGACTCAACAATGTTCTGGATAATTCCCAGGCAAGGGGAATTGGTGAGCTGGAGCCCACTTTAATCTTTATAATGATTACAATATGAAAAAATATAAAACTAGAAACTTTTGTTCTGGATCTGGTTTTCTATTACATTAGGCAATTCAGCCTTTCCTGAGTCAAGAAACAGACTAACTCATCTTTAGAGCCTATTTCAGTCTGAAAAGTTTAGGTGCATATAAGAATAGTTTCTGTGAGAAACAAATGCATACTTGACTTTTCAAAATGCACTCTGAATAATAGGGCTGAGCATGGTGGCTCACACCTGTAATCCCAGCACTTTGGGAGGCCAAGACAGGCAGATCACTTGAGGCCAGGAGTTTGAGACCAGCCTGGCTAACACGGCAAAACCCCGTCTCTACTAAAAAATACAAAAACTAGCCATGTTTGGTGGGGTGCACCTGTAATTCCACCGACCAAGGAAGCTGAGGCAAGGGAACTGCTTAAACCTGGGAGGCAGAAATTGCAGTGAGCTGAAGTTGCGCTACTGCATGCCAGCCTGGGCGACACAGCGGGACTCTGTCTCAAAACAAAACAAAAAAATGAAATGCACTCTGAATAATCATTGATTTACTTTAGCCATTCAACATTTCAGTGGCTTTAACACTGATTAAACACATTCCAGAACAATACTCTTCATATTACTTTCTAGAATTTTCCAATTCACCAATCTTAATCATCTCTTCTGAGAGGCATCTTGCCAAAGCAGAAACAGCAAGAGCCCACTCTGTTCTCGGAGTCAGGCTGCTCGCTGTTGCAGGGCACCGCCATCTTTTTTTTTTCCCCATAAAGTAAGTATATTTTATTTGTTACCCAGAACAGTAACTATTGCCAGTACTCCAGGAGCTGGCCTCACGCCTCTCCTAGTCATGCTTCCCCTCCTCCTCTCCGGAGGGAACCTCTCTGCTGACTTCTAAAATCATACATAGTCTTCTATGATTTTGAAATTTGGGAAGCCGACAGAATGCACTATTGCGTCTGGCTTCTTCATTCAACATAATTTTTGTGAGGTTCATCCATATTGTGTGTAGCAGCAGTTTGTCATTTTTCATTGTTCTATAGTTTCCTTTGAATGAATAAGCAATTTAACTTTTCATTTCTGCTCTTGGTACCTAAACTGTCTTCAGGTTTTTTGTTTGTTTGTTTTTAACGCTGCTGTGAATATTTGCAAATACTTCCCCTCCCCAAGATTGGTCACATTCTTCTCAGCACTTATTATTAACAGTCTACTTAATCTTAGCAGTTCTAGGGTATAAATTTAACTTTAATTTGCATCTTCTTCATGACTATTGGAGTGGAAACTTTTTCATACATGTATTGGCTTTTGGATATCTTTTCTTTGTTAAGTATTTGCTCCAGTTTGTGCTTATTTTTCTGTGAGGGCTTTTTCTTATTGATTTGTAATATTTCTTTACATATTCTGGATGAGTCTTCTATCATCACATACATTGCAAATATCTTCTCCCAGTCTGTGGCTTCCCTTTTCATTTCTTTTATTGTGTCTTTTGATGAACAGAAGTTCTTACTGTTAATGTAGTCTATTTATTATGCTTTATTTTTTATCCTAAGGGGCAATGCCATCCTTAAAACTTGTAACAAGTTACAAAAACTCTGTGAGGATAATAAGTACATGTAAAACTGGGATAAAATCTTACAACAGTATGAATATCAAGTGTAAAAATACATAGTAAAGAGACTACCATGTTAATAACATATATAGTAAATAATAAATGTTAATTACTTTCCTCCTACTCAAGTGCTTCTCAAAGTGTGATCCAAGGACTGCCTGGATCAGAATCATCAGGGAAGTTTGGCTAAAAATGAAAATTATGGACCCTATGCCACACCACTGAATCACCTCTCGGAGCAGGGCCTCAAAATGTAGGTGCTTATCAAGTTCCATGGACAATTCTTGTGTACTCTAAAACTTGAGAACCATAGTTCTGAATTACAGAGGTGTACAACATAGATACATAGCACACAGAATCTAAGAACTGGATGTTCAACAAGTGAGAGCTAAAAAAAAAAGAAGAAGAAGAAAAGGTGGCCACAAGTTTGGGAGGTCAAGGCGGGTGAATCGCTTGAGGTCAGGAGTTCAAGACCAGCCTGGCCAATGTGGTGAAACCCTGTTTCCACAAAAAATACAAAAATTAGCTGGGCATGGTGGCAGGCACCTGTAATCCTGGCTACTTGGGAGCCTGAGGCAGGAGAATCGCTTGAACTCAGTGATGGAGGCTGCAGTGAGCTAAGATTGCGCCACTGTACTCCAGCCTGGGTGATAGAGCAAGATTCAGCCTAAAAAAGGAAAAAAGAAAAAGGTCAAACAAAAAGACAAGTGTTCTTAGTCATATGTAGGAGCCAAAAAAAAGTTGATCCCATGGAAGTAGAGAGTAGAATAACAGTCACCAGAGGCTGGGAAGGGTGTAAGTGTATGTACTTGAGGTAGGGTGAGGGTGGGATGAAGACGGACGGGTTAATGGTACAAATAGACACTTAGATAGAAGGAATAAGTTCCAGTGTTGGATAGCACAGAAGGGTGACTACAGTTAACAACAATAACTTGTATATTTCAAAATAATTAGAAGATTTGAAAGGTTCCCAATACAAAGAAATGATAAATATTCAAGGTGATTGATATCCTAAATACCCTGATTTGATCATTATATATTGTATAATTATTAATTATTGTGCCCATAAATATGTGCAATTATTAGGTATCAGTAATTAAAAAAAAAAAAAAAGCCAAGATTCAACCAGGAACTAAAATAATGTATTTGTTTATTTTGAAATTCTAAAAAGGTCACAGAGTTAGCCCAGTCTCACATAAAATTTACACAGACCACCACCTAATAAAGAACCTTGGGGGCTAACACTGAATTTAATACCAAATCACTCATTTTTGAAATTTGAGAGAGGTTTCCTAACGTACTATGTACGTAAAAATCTCTAAATCCCAGATGAAGGGGAAATTATGTATTTTTGTAGTTTCATTTTTCTAGACTAGTTGTGAAATACAGGGACTGAACTACCAGAAAGACAGACCTCAACAGGGAGTACACTGTTTTGCTAAGACTTACATTGCTTGTATTTGAACAGCTGACCTCTCCAGGGTTTGTCACCTGTCTTTCTGAGACTGGGATTTAATCTGAGATCCTGAATAGCCCACCAAAAACAAAAAAACATAAGGAGGAAGCTGTGGGAAGAAAAGATATTTCCCCTTGCTTTATTATGGCAGCTGTTCAAATACGCAAGGAGATCTACTCATCCTCTAACCGGTAAAACTGTACCTACAGGTTGTGAGCCTTTGGGCAAATTACTTAATATCTTTGTGCCTCAGCTCTAAAATTGGGATAATAAAAGTAACCTATTTCATAGGATTGTTTTAAAGAATTATTAGCAGGAGTTCACTGACGCAATAGCACAGTGGTTAAGAGGGAAAGTTAGTTTCTTCTAAACAAAGGATGTTAATAGCAACTACCTCTTGATGGCATACACTTAAACACTTACTTAAGCACAGTGTCTAAACACAGGAAGTTCTTGATAAATATTCATAATTTTTACTTTTCAATCTACTGTTCTCTTTACATTTGATATAAATATAATTCCCTAAATCCTTGTTTTGTCCACAAACTACCCCATAGGGTAACCCTTCTTCCTAATCTCTGTTGTTCTCGACAGAGTTTTGCTGTTGTCACCAGGCTGCAGTGCAGTGGCATGATCTCAGCTCACTGCAACCTCTGCCTCCTGATTCTTCTGCCTCAGCCTCCCAAGTAGCTGGGAATATGGGCGCCTGCCACTACGCCTGGCTAGTTTTCTTTTTGTATTTTTAGTAGAGATGGGGTTTCACCATGTTGGCTAGGCTGGTCCTGAACTTCTGACCTTGGGTGATCCACCCGCCTTGGCCTCCCAAAGTTCTGGGATTACAGGCATGAGCCACTGTGTCCAGCCATCTCTGCGGTTCTTGATTTAGGAGTTTGCAGGGGTGTGCAAATGAATCCTAGTCATTTAAATTTACCGACAGAGGGTGGCCTTTACCTATGTTGAATCAGGTGGTTGGTCATTTTTTCCAATTTCATTCCCATCTGTATCACATTTTCTTTGAAATGTTTCAAAGTTTCTGGCTTTTGTCTCCCTGTTTTCTGAGTATAAATAATGCTTCTTTATATTTCTATGATAATTTCACTAGGATTTTGGGAAAGAGATGAGTTCAAAACGCCCATCTTGACATGGAAATAATGATACATTATACTAGGTTTTTGTCCATCTTTCTATATTCCAAGTTTTTAACAGCAGTAACATTCTAAGCTATAACATAGAGCCATGTATTCTGTGGTATTGCTAAAAACATAACAAAGGAACTGCTTTCAATGTTACTTTCTAGAAAGTTTGTAAGCTTTCATGAGTTGCCCAAATAATAGACAGAAAGAAATCCAGTGAGGCAGCTAGTTTCAGCTACCCCCCAGCAATTTTCCCTGGGAATCTGGCTTTGAAGAAAACATATTTGGAAAGCTAGGACTGCCTAAGTGAGCTGCATGTTAGGCCATAGCATCCTGTTACCTGTAACTTTATAGGAGTTATAGTCCACATGTGGGCCTGGCTATCTCCTATCCCAGAGTTTATCAGAGAGCTCTTCCACAGAGATACTATGAGTACCTAATGTATGGCCCATAAACAAGTTTTTAAAACCTAAAATCAGAAAAATAAACACTAATCAAACTCTACCTTCTAAATGTCCAAAAAACTAGAGTTTATATTCATCTAATATTCACTTTGATCTTGATGATTTCATATACATAAAATGAAATTCATGTGAATAAAAAGATATGTGTATTTTGAATTATTTATTCCAATGCTGTTCCTACCAAGTGTGCCTAACTCCATAGCTACCACTAATGCATAACTAAATAAATAATTTCCTCATTTGTTCTTTTTTCTGAGACAAGGTCATACTCTGTTGCCCTGGCTAGAGTATAGTAACATGATTACAGCTCACTGCAGCCTAGACCTCCTGGACTCAAGTGATCCTCCCACCTCAGCCTCTAGAGTAGCTGGGACCATAGGTGTGTACCATTATGCCCAGCTATTTTAAAATTTTTTGTACAGCTGGCGGTAGCGGTGGCGGGGGGGGGTCTCCCTATGTTGCCTAGGCTGGTCTTGAACTCCAGGCCTCAAGTGATTCTTCTGTCTCAGTCTCCCAAAGTGCTAGGATTACAGGCGTTAAGTCACCATACCCAGCCCCCAATTTTTAAGTGCAACACTAAGAACGGCAGTGGGAGCCAGATAGGTGTGTGTGCACATTTACGTAAACATAGGTAGACACAGACTCCTCTTCAAGATCATTTATGTGGTCTCTTGTCCTTTCCCGAACCAAATTAAGAGTGCAAAGAAATGGCTTGATAGGTATGTCAAGGCTGAGCAGGAAAAAGGAAGGATATGCCAGTTAAGAGGGGAGCAAAGTAGAGGTTAGATCACTTTGACATCTACCTCAATTCAACCCAACTAGTATTACGAAGGACCCTCCGCCCCAGAGGCTGTAGAGAATTCAGAGATGGAAAGGATGGAGGCTCTGGTTTAAACCTGCTATTGAACAGAGCAAATTTCACAAATGGCTTATTGTACCTAGGAAGAGAATGAGGGAGGTGACATGGGGATAAAAGAAAAGTTAGTAGGTTATAGTTAAGAAAGTATGAGGGGCTGATAACAATTCTGACCTGCTTTATGGTCTCTAGCTTCCCAAAGAGACTAGTGACTACAGTAAACAATTTATTGTGCATATTTCAAAGTATCTAGAAAGGAGAATTCTGAATGTTCTTATCACAAAGAAATGATAAATGTTTGAGGTGATGTGTATGCTAAATACCATTCTTATGTATGTTAAATATCATTTATATACATACTGAAACATCACACTGTACCCCATAAATATGTACAATTATTATGTATTAATTAAAAATAAAACAGACTGGGTGCAGTGGCTCATGCCTATAATCCCAGAACTTCGGGAGGCTGAGGCGGAAGGATCTCTTGAGTCCAGGAGTTCAAGACCAGCCCGGGCAACATAGTGAGACCTTATCTCGACAAAAAAAATCAAGAAAAGTAGCCAGGCCTGGAGGTGCATGCCTGTACTCCTAGCTACAGGCTGAGGCCGTAGGATCTACTTTTGTACTACCTTGGTAGGCTGAGGTGGGAGGATTGCTTGAGTCCAGGAGGTTGAGGCTGCAGTGAGCTGAGATCGTGCCACTGTACTCCAGCCTGGGCGATACCAAGACTCTGTCTCTCAAACAAATGAACAAACAAAGAAATCCCCAAAAGATTGGTAATTGTTATGGTATCCTACACTTTGTAAAGTTATCACACACCTCGTAACCATCCAAAACTTTGGGAAGACAAGTAAAAACACAGACATAAACAGACGGATATTAGTTAGGCTCTCTTTGTTTTATCTTTCCATTTCATCCCCTACATAAATTGTAATAAAGAGCAAATCTTCTGAATCCTCTACTTGGTAAATACTAGTAAACATAGTTGGGAGACAGTCTCCTTTTGTTCTGAGCTTATAATACTTACTTTGCAAATGAGCTTGATTAGTATCATACTGAAGAGCACTAGAAAAATCTTTAAGACCACAATGCAGGTGACTTGAGTGAAGTCTGCAATTCAACATAATTTTGGTGAGGTTACTATACTTGGCTCTTACTTAAGACTTAGTTCTGAATAATAAGAGAAAAAAATGAAGGTATTTCCAAGAAAACGATACTTTTTCTTTTCCACTAATCATTTTCAATTAAAGTCTCATAGAAGGTCAAAACCAGAACAGTCATTAGTCTGATGCCCACACTCTTTAACACGTAATCCCACTTCTAAATTTTCATTCTACAGATAAACTGGAACATATGTGAAATGTATATGTAAAAAGCTATTTACAATAGGGGTGTCTATAATAGCAAAATATTGAAAATATCACCTAAATGTTCATTGATAGGACACTGATTAAACGAGTTATCATATTTTCATACAATGGAATACTGTGCAAAATAAGAACGAGGATGCTCTTATATACTGATATAGAATGATCTCCAAGACATATTATAAAATGAAATAAAAGCAGATTATACTGTATGCTGTAATTTGTAAAAAACTTAAAAAAGGAAAAGAGTATGTAAATATTATTTGTATATACCTATACTATCTCCAAGGGAATGTGTGTGGGGGGCGGACAACAAAGTTGTTGGTTGAGCCTGGGACGCAAAACAAACACTGTGGCCCCTAAGGGGAACTGGTCAGATGTGGGTAGGAGTAAATTAAAATACTTTTCACTGAATAACCCTGTGTACTTTTTGAATTACAAGCCATGTGAATATATTTCTTATTTAAAAAGTTAAATTATCATCAAATTCAACTCCTTTATTTTACAGATGTAGAAACTGAGGTCCATGTTATTAAATAACGCTAATACTCGTTAGTTAGGTGAACCCACAACATCTGCTTCTGATAGAACGCTCCATAACACTAGACTAACCACCTTATCCAGCCCCATTTCTCCAGATGGCTTGCTGGGAAGCAGCTAAGCAGGAGGGGTTTCCGAGCTTTACATATCCTGTTCTGGTGGCAAATAACACCAAAGCTCCTATTTCTCTTGCCCACTCCCACCCTTCTGTACAAAGAAGATCAAGTGTACAACTACACTCTTCCAAAGGCCTTTAGAAAAGCTTTTATTTGCCTGGTTTTAACAGGACAACTCAAACTGATAGGTCAAACAAACAAACTGAAAAGGTCTTTTAGTTGTGTAATGATAGCAGGGCCTAAGTCCAATGGGGAGTGGATCTCCCAGCAACTTTACTCCATTTCTGATACCTTTTGTTGTTGGCTAAGCCACATCCTGGAATAATATAATCACAAGATGTACCCTTTCATGCTTCTCTTAACTGATCCTTTTGTAGCCTCAACACACTTCCAGACTGTGCTTTAGTATGATTTATGTGAAGATTTCAATGTTTTCTAGATAATATCTTAGAGTGGAGAAAGCATGCAGCACTAGGCATCAAAGGCTCTGAGCTCTGGACACACGTTTGCCATATACTAGCTATGTGACATTAAGTAGATCACTGAAACCCAGTGAGAACAATTTTCTTCATTTGCAAAACAGATATTACACTGCCTACACTGCCAATCTCATAGGATTGTAAGGGTCAAATAAAATATGTTAAATACTTTCAAATTTTAAGGTACAATAAATATGAAATATAATTAAAAGCTTGCTTGCTCATTAGATGACAAAATTAATCTCTGAAAGGAGCTAAGTCACACATAAGGCTCACTTTCATGTCTCTTGAAGTATACAATCTCTTTTACAGTTTTATTTAAATAAAACTGGCTAGTCAGACACATATACCTTGGCAAAGCATTGCTTTAACTGCTTTCTTGTTATAATTAAAGGTAGACAATGGTCCTCCTTGTCTGAACTTTGCTTTAGTTACATAGCATTTCAACTGTCTGGATAATAATCTTGGTTTGCCTGTGAATAATATTGGGAATTAACATGGTATATAAGATGGAAACTAGAAAAAATTTGAACTGTTCCTTTTTTTATTCAGTAGGAAAATGCAATTAAATGTTATACAAGATAATAGGAACTTATGTCCCAGCAAAACATTAATTAGTAAAGAATGATTTAATGAAAATGTAGTAAGAGAATGAAAATGAGGCTGGGCACGGTGGCTCATGCCTGTAATCCCAGCATTCTAGGATGCCAAGGCTAGCAGATTGCTTAAGCTTCGGAGTTTGAGACCAGCCTGGGCAACATGGCAAAGTCCCAACTCTATCAAAAATATAAAAAAGTAGCTGAGAGTGGTGGTGCATGCCTGTAGTCCCAGCTACTTGGAAGGCTGAGATGGATGGGAGGACTGCTTGAGCCTGGGAGACAGAGGTTGCAGTGAGCCAAGATCGTGCCACTGCATTCCAGTCTGGGCAACAGAACAAGACTCTGTCCCAAGAAAAAAATAAAAAAGAAAATGAAAAAGAAAAATTGTTCAGTATCTCAGATAGAGGCTGAGATATTGAGATAAAAATTGTTCAATATCTCAGTATGGTGTGGTAGTAAAAGGACAGGGCTAGGAATTGAAAGAGGTTCTTGATCTGCATTCTAGATCTGGCCCTTAGGTCTCATTTGCTGAGTAACTCCGAGGAACTCAGACTATTCTTTCACTATTTATTGCATACCTATTGAATGAAGGTACCTTTATGAAACCCTAACCTTAAGAAACCCATTTTGGTGAAAGAGGGACACATGTAAACAATTAAAAGATAATGTAAAATGTACTAAGGTATAGATTATGCATAGGGTTGTGGGAGAGCTCATAGAAAGCCATTAGAAAAGGTGGGAGAGAGGATGCGGGTATATAAGTTACAGTATTCCTCTGTCTTTCATCTCATAAATTAAGTGACTATATTCTAGATGCTCTAAACTGCTTCAAAATTATATAAACACTCATCATAGTTCTACAATAACTCTTCCATCTAGGGAAATATGTCACATGTTGCTAGAATTTTGCTCTTTTTATGTGTTGCCTCCAAAACATTTCTCATATTTACTTCTGAGATTCAGGCTTCCATCTTACACTGTATTTCATAATGTCCTTAGCCTACAAAAGCAGGTTGCATACAAAAGCCTAGGGCCATTGTGTAAAGGAAAAGAGGTAGGGTGGACCCTTCTCAACCCTTTCCTTCTCTGCAGGGCTTTGCATTCCTAAGGATGGGCCCCTCCTTTGCTTGGGGATGTTACCTAAATTATAATATGATACTACTCTCAGCCGTGGAACTTCAAAAGCATTTCCTTCCCAGGCCCTACTGTAAGATTTCTTTTGGCATAAACTGTTCATTGTAATGTAATAAGTATCAGACTTTCGATGACTTGTCATACTTAAGTCACAAAACTACAGAAAACAACTGAGTTTTTTAAATGTCTTTGTTTTAAGAGCTGCATGCAGAAGTGCAGGCAGCAGCAACCCCCTACCCCTTCTCTCCCTTTGCCCCAGTCAGGTCTGTCCTGTCAACTTTCAAATGTAGTTATTTGGGTGATGCCTTGTTACTAACTTATCTGACAACTGCTAGTTGAAATTAGTTTGTCACTGTAAACACTTTGCTTTCTTTCTTTTTTTTTGAGACGGATTATCACTCTGTTGCCCAGGTACAGGCACCTACCACCATGCCCAGCTAATTTTTGTATTTTCAGTAGAGACGGGGTTTCACTATGTTGGCCAGGCTAGTCTTGAACTCCTGACCTCAGGTGATCTACCTTTGCTGGGATTACAGGTGTGAGCCACCATGCCTGGCTGAACACTTTGCTTTTCTATGATAATTATATCATCTTTTTCTCTTGTAGCACTTCTGGTGGGAAAGGTACAAAAAGGAAATAACAGTGGAAATGAGTCTCTGATTCCTAAGTCCTTCTCTACCAAGACTTCCAAATTGGAAACAAGAGGTAGAGAAAGACCTAGGAAGCAAAGACTCTTACGAGCATGGTATCTATTTTCAAAGCAGTCATTTCATTTTATCCACATTCGGTATGGAAACTTTATTTTTCTCCATTCAAAATTGAGATGATAATCCAAAGGAAAGCTGAATTGAATTAAAAAAAAATTAATACCAGTGCCCCAAGTAGTGTTTACCATGCCTTACCTCATTGCATTCACACAACCACCCCATGTTCTAGGGACCATTAGAAAATGAAGTGGCTACTGACATGGAATGGAGCTGGGAAATTTAACTTTTTACTGTATGTACTCCTAAGCCATTTGAACTTTTTTACATCAATCATGCCATTTAGAGTAAAAAATTCCACTTCCTACTGAGCTAAGTATAAACTTGTCATGTTCACCTTCGAGGTATTTGACAAATATGGTCCTGTATTCCTTTTCAATTTTAATCCACTACTTCCTTATGTGAACTGTTGCCTTATACTCTTAGCAAACCATCCCACAGAACTCTCTTATCTAATTTAACTGACATCACACCGGTTAGGCTATTCTCCAACGTGATGAGAACACCACTTCTGGTTCCCCTTCAGTTAAGTGTGCTTATCAATGGTGTCAGTGTGTTTGTTCACAAACCAATTCATGCCAGTTGTGCTCATTATTGAAAATATGTAAATACTATGTAAAGCAATGAAATATAAATGAGAAGAGAAAAATAACAGCAGCAATTAACATTGAGTACCTACCACCTGCCAGGCACTGTTCTAAATGCTTTACATGAATTAAGTCCTATAATCTTCCCAAGAAACCTAGAAATGGATACTACCATTATCCCTACTTTACAAAGGCAGAAACTGAGTAACTTGCCTAAGGTCTGCTATACAACTAATAAGTGGCAAAGCAATTTGGCTCCAGAGCTCAAGTATTTAATGACTGTACTACATAGCCTCTCTAGTAGTTGTTTCTATAAAAAACACATTGAATGCTTTGGAAAGACTAGATAAAAGTGAGCATACAGGTAACACATAAACTTGTCCTTAGGTGAGAGAGACAACACAAAAGGCTGGAAGGACTTTTCATAAACACCTAGAAAGATTCTGCACTGAGAATGCTTTGCGAGTGATTTTAAGTTTTCATTCCATGTTAAAAATCCCATAGATAATATAGGCCAGAGGCTAGCAAGCTCTTTCTGTCAAGAGCCAAAAGTTAACGTTTTAGGTGTTGTGGGCCATGTGGTTTCTGTTGCAACCACTCAACTCTGCTTTGTAGGGTGAGAGTAGTCCTAGACAATTCCTAACAAATGGGCAAGGCTGTGTTCCAATAAAGCTTTACTTATAAAAACAGGCAATAGGTTCCTACACTCCAAGAAAAGGCTGAGGCCTTGTGTTAAAAGAATGGCAAAAGAATGTTTATGTGTTCATTAAAATGTTTATGATATGCATGTAACTATTATCTGTATGATTCCTGCTTTAACTTACTACTTCGGTTAACCAACTAAAGGCCCTAAAAGTCTGCTTCCAGTGACTGAGTAAATAGAATGTTATCGATCTGCATTTAATTCATATCCCTAAGGTCTATGCATTTAATTCATATCCCTATCACTATACCTGATATAACCTGGTTATATCTTTAAACTATTAATTTTAAAATGCATTCATCAGTACCGATTAGTATGGGTATACTTGTATATAAAGACTGTCATCTCTGTTGCAAAACTGAGGATAATTTGAAAATAATTATTAAATTTGCTGCTTCCCTGAGGGAGGAAGGTGGGTGGAGGGTGGAGAAAAATAATTGCTGCTTCCTGGCCAATCTTCAAGGGGTCAACAATACATTTATGAATATTCTAAAAGTTGTATACTTAAGCAAAACAAATAAACATAAATGCTTAATTTAAACTTGAGATCAAGGTTGTGCCTTACTTACCTTTGTATCTCCAGCTCTTACTCAGTAGAAGTCTGGGTCTAATCCACTCCTTTTACAGTGTTTAGGGAGCCTGGCCCAAACTCAGAGTGAGTTAGAAGGGCTGGGACAGGAATTCAGATTTCCTGATTCCTAGTCCAATATTACCAATCTGAAGATAAACGAATTTAGGAAGACAGTGGCTTTTTTTTTGTTGTTCTTGTTGTTGCACTCACTCAGTCCTGCAGTTCAAAGCCTGGGGAAGTCTCACCATCATCTTCCTCCTCATACTGCCAACAAGAATCAGCAGCTGTGTTTCCACAGTGATAACTGGGGTATGCATGTTTAATGTTCAATCACCAATAAGGCTATTGATTTTAGAGTTTCTGAGTACCCACAAAAGCCACTTTACTTAAACATCCAGGATAAAAACAGTTCCTCCCAAGAATACAAGATAAGAGTTCAAACGTTCCCTTGGGCATTTTTTAAATAAAAACACCATCTAGATGTTTCAGTACTGCAGTCACAGCCAGTATTGGGGAGGGGGGTTAGAAAGTGCCATGGTACTTAATCCAGTTATTCCCTCAACACCTCCAAGAGGTAGCCAAGTTCACACACTAAACAGAGTGATTGCAACAGCTCTAGTGCTCGTGCTTATTAGAGGCGTTTCAGTTCCAATTTTAGCACTTGGATCCCAGTTGCATTATTGCAACTGTGAACGTTAACTGCTTTAACATCTTAATCTACAAAATAAACATGAGAAGCAGACTAACAGCTCTATCCTCAGTTAAAGAGAGGAATAATTTCCTTATGAAAATTATAGTTACATATAATATTTCTAGCTTTCTTATTCCCCTGTTCCCCCTCCCCTGGAGCTTTAGACAATAGTACAATCATCTTCGATTAACAAAAGAGATTAAACAACCCAGATAGCTCACAGCTAGTACAGCATTTTTATCTTTCTGGGAGCTACCTATGAAAGGCAAGAACTAACGCTAGGCTGGGTCACACGGGAAAAAGAAATCCTAAGATTGTAAATCAAGGAACAAGGGAACAAGGATGAATTTCATTATTCAGCCTAATAAAAATTAATAAGAACCTATTATATAGGCAAGAAGGTTTACAATTCAGTAGTATGCAAACTGTAATAAAAAATAGAACAGGGCAAGTGCCAGGAGGTGCAAAGTTCTCTGGGAGGGAGCTACCAATCACTTCGCTTCAATTTCATACTGACAGATTGAAACATTCAGGTAAGGGACACCTGTAGTACCAACCTGACTGTGAGGGGAAGCCCAAGAACTCCACTGAGTCTGTGGAAATGGATGCTACACTGGGACACTATCTCCTTAGCCACACCTTGACTAAGCCAGGACTATCCCAGGATTGTTTTGAGATACGAGGTTAACCAAAGAAATATTTATGTGAACTACAGACAGGGTGGAAACTGGAGGTAGAGGAGTCCGCCACAATTGATGTTGATTTAGGACTATCGCAGAAAGACCCAGCGAAATCTACGCCAAGGTTGGTCTGGGGATATGTCTGCCTCCAAAGTATCCTCCTTTCCATCACCCACCCCCAGAATATCCTAGATCTTCTGCACCTCACCTGAGTAGAATACAGGTGGACTCTAGAAGGGGAACTTTCCTCGAGGTGCATGTTACAGTCTTTCAGTAGCCATTCTGTAAGGGCACCCAGTGCTTAAGGGCTAGCAAGGTTCTTGTTAACTCACGAGCTCACTATATCCTGAATCAAAGAACGAGGAATCCAATCTCAGTCTGCCCTTTACTCCTTGTGAACTCCGACTAGTCACCCGGGGGCTTAGTTCCTTCGTTTCCCTATCTGTAAATTCTGAGATTACAAGGAGACCGGGATTGACTTCGATGGCCTCTGGGCTCTAAAAGCTTCCAGACCAGCCGGCACATGGAAGCACTCGACAAATGGCCAGTTGCATAGACGGGGAAACTGAGGCACCGAACACCCCGGACCAAGGTCACTCTAGCTATGCCCCTACAGAGGCCGTGCCGAAGCCCAGGTCTTCAGCCCTCCAGACCCGAGCTCTTTCTCCTTCCGCCGAACTGAGGAGAGCGGCGAGAAGGGTCCTTGTCCCGCTGGGGAAAGGAGGGTACCCATACACAGGGGTGCGACAGAGGGACCGAGAGAAGCCTTACCTTTCCAAGTCGAGTCCAGCCACTAGCACTTGTCTCTGCGAATCTTAACTCGTCACCCCCTCGCGACTCCTCGACTGGCCCCTCCACTTCTGCCCGGCTCGACGTGTCCACGACCGCCACCGAGGCCGAGGATTCCCTCCCCTTCCCCGCCCCCTTGCCTTACCAACCAATCCCTCCACGGGGCTATGAAGCTCCGCCCCCCTGCGGGCTGAAGAGGCCTGACGTCACGCGGCGCGCGTGCTCGCGCGAGCCTCTCATTTGCCTTTTTGCCCCACCTTCTCCGGAGCCTAGTCGGCTTTCGGCCCAGAGACCGTGCGGAGTTCATCCTGCCGGAAAGCAGCACGCTACCGCGGCATTTTACAACGTCGGCGGTGACAGGCCCTGGGATGCTGGGAACACGCAGCTTCCTCCCTGCTCTTCGGTGAAATCCTACGCAATGTTCGGTTCTGGGGACGAGGACGACACCGATTTCCTCTCGCCCAGCGGCGGGTGAGTGACTGAGAAGTGTGCGCTGGAGGGCGTGGCTGAGAGATACCAGCAGATTGTTGGACGGGGGTCGATCTCTTCTCAGGCCTTTTCCCAACTTCCGGGTGCTCTACACCTCTGAGAATCTGGGCAGAGCTTGCACCTGTGCTGACTCTGCAGATCTGAGGTTCGGGACCCGGCATTTCTCTTGGCGCGAAGATAACCCTGGGGTTTGCCTTTGCTTTCTGGGTCACAATTTCTCTGGTGAGATAGGAATGATTGCTGATGAGACTTCCTGCCTCAGAGTTTTTGTAGTAGTTAGCTGGGACTGACATGAGACTTTCTCTTCTCAGTGGAAAAGGCTATGACACTTTAGAACCAGGCCCTGGTGGGTCAGCTCTAGCATTCTTCAAGGCCCAGCTCGGATGTCACGTTTTCGGTGCTTTTACTTCTGCAGCCTGAGGCAGAATAAATTGCTTTCCCTTCCTTATTCCTACAGCTCGGTGTGTTCGCCTCTATTCTTGCACCCCGAACCCCTTAGATTAAGATTCCTCACAGGACAGGGACTGCTTATGTTGTTCATCTCTGTCTAGCACTCAGCATGGTACCTGGCACATAGTGAGTGCTCAAGAAGTGCCTGTTGAATGAATGATAGCTGCGAAATTGCACTTTGTAAATTTTAAAGCTTAAAACCAACATAACAGACTTCGTCATTCTCCAGTTTTCCAAGCATTGTATTAATACATTCCAGCCCAGGATCGAAATCTTTAAAGAAAGGCAGGGTTTTGTCTCTTTCAGTAGTCAGTTTAGCCTTTTCTGTTGTGTTGTTCCAGTGGACAGCTTGACTTCCTTCAAACTCTTGAGAGACACCAAGCTGTGATCATTGCAAGCTTTGAACATCTGCTTAACAAATTTTGTGCACGCTGAAGAATGTACTGGAAAAACGACAAATACACCACATATGCTCCTTATTCTGCTAAATGCTAAGAGGTTACAAAAATGGTTAAGCTGCTGTGCCTGCCGTCAAGTTGCTTCCCCATTTGTTGGAGAGGTCAATACATGAATGATCATAAAACGACACTGGCCTTTTTTTGTCTTTAAATACGATCTTTTGATTAACAGCGACTAGCTTTGTATTAACTATACTGAAGTCTTTTCACTCTTGCTGCTGTACCACAACTACCGCCTCTTTAGATGGCCTGCATTCACTTAGTTCCACTTTGAGTTCTTTCGTTTTCTTAGTTATTTTAGAGTTAAGCTGTGCTTTGCTTCCTTTTTTTCCCTATTCCACCCAAAACATTAACGAATCTCCACACATTCCAGCCTCCTTGCTGCCATTGACTCCTATTTGTGGCCAGCCTTTTGAGTTAATGTTCCTTCCAACAAACCCGTTTTGTGTATAGCTGTATATTAGACTGCTTGAAAATTTCGAAGGTATACTTTAAATTCACATTCTTCACTATGTGAAAGTATTTGGGAGAAGTCTGTAATGTTAAGACTCCCAACTTTCATGCAGCGATCAGTCCAAGCTGACTGAAAATGTTAAGATAGGTAATGACAGTCATGTGCTCTTTTCCAGATTCCTGGCCAGAGATAAATTCTTGGTGGCTCAATTATTCTTTTTTCCTGAGCAGGTTTCTCAAAGATCTGAGACCCTTGAATTCTAGGCATGTAACTGTGCTCCTGGACATAGACAACAGCTAATTTGATGAGGAAAGTTATAGTTTATTTTTATTCCCCATGGTAATCAGGAAAACCAAATCAAATTTAACACTGAGAATTTAGAAACTTTCACCAGCATTCTCTGATTTAGCTATTCCTTTTTTGGTTTTCTCTAAGGAAGTAGAACTTATGACAGTGAATACGGCAGTTGCTTTTCACTTCCTCTTTTATAACCATATATCATTGTAAGTGTACTTGCTTAAGTTTCAAGTCTCTTGATTTAAACACATGACTTGCATGATTCCGTTAAGGATATATTTGAGCCTAATAGAAGTGGGAGCATCTGATAATCTCCCTTCTGAGTTTCTAGTCCTCTTAGAGTCTACTTTTAATCTAGAAGTAGTAATCAGGAGGCAAAACTAACAAAATTTTGTTTGTTAGTTTGTTTAGCCCATTCCTCACCATTGTGGGAAGTAATAGTAACGAAGTAATAGTACCTGGCTTCAGCTAATCCAGAGAGGAATAAGTCACAGTTTCTGTCCCTAAGAAACTTTTATATTAGTAGTAGAATAAAATCAATCCAGGAAGAATAATCACAAAGCATTTTTAAGGGGCCAGTCATGTATACATTTGTTTTAGATTATAAAGGTATGTGAAGGCAAATCTGATTAGCATAGTAATGATAAGTCACTAGTGTAAAGATGGTAAAGCGATAAATTAGCTGATCATCAGAAAGCATTTTAAGTTCTGTAAAAGATAGGAAAAAGCCTAAATTCTAATTTGGTTCTATCTCCAGTTAGGAATGTGACTTTGTACAGATCATCTCCCATCCTTGTTTGCCCCTCCATACTCCAGCCTATTAAATAATGAGGTTTGCCCTAGTTAATCTTTGAGACCTTTCCCAGTTCCATAGTTTTAATGTTAATGCTAATACCAGTTTACGGTTGCAGGTCAACTTGTACGTCAGTCAGCATGCTTCCACCCTTGCAGGGGTATCTGAGTTGAGCCACATTTTGAGATAATAAGATATGTTCACAAGTATATAAATACACACTGTGTGCTTACTCAGTGCCACCCGCTGTACTAAGGAATACATAGACATTATTGTATTTATTCCTCCCTTCCACTCTATGAAGTAATTTTACCTACTATACCCATTTTACAAATGAGAAATGTGTATATACATTATTGTATTTACTCCTCTCTATGAGGTTACTGTTAACTATTATATCCATTTTTCAAATGGGAAAGGTTCAGAGAGGTATGTTGCTCAAGATCACACAGCTAGAAAGTAATAGAGCCTGGATCTGAAATCAGGTAGGCAGACTCTACCAGACCTGCCTATGTGCTATTATTGTTATGATTGAAATAGATGTTTGACATCAGTGTATTTAAAAAGTATTAATACTTTATCAACAAGAAGAATCCCTGTTTATTAAAATATGTTGATACAATATAAATGCATGTGTTTTTGTTTTTGATGGGAAAGAAAAATAATATTAAACTGAGGTGAGGTGAGGTCCTTGGCAACTAAATGCACTGTCTAACATTTATTTTTTAAATTTAGTTAATGCTGTCAGGACTTTTCCTATGAATTGTTAACAGACTCAAGTCCAGAGTTACCAGGCTCATTCTTGCCAACATAGGGAGATTGTGTATATTTGAGAGCACCTTAGTAGTGGAAAAATCTAATAATTAATTAATTATTATTATTATTATTTTTTTGAGACAGGGTTTTGCTCTGTTGCTCAGGCTGGAGTGCAGTGGTGCAGTCATGGCTCACTGTAGCTTCGAACTCCTGGGCTCAAGCAATCCACTTGCCTCAGCCTCTCCAGTAGCTGGGACTACAGGTGCACGCCACCACACCTGGCTAATTTTTAATTTTTTGTAAAGGTGGGGTCTTGCTATGTTGTTCTGGCTAGTCTTAAACTCCTGACCTCAAGCAGTCCTCCTGTCTCAGCCTCTGAGAGTGAGCCATCATGCCCTGCTGATAATTTACAAGTAACTTATCTCCTAAGTTGATGTAGAGTCCATTAAAGATATTAATATAAAATGGAATTAATTTGAAAACTAATTAGGTTGACCTGGCTTTTGGATTGACTTTGTAGTCTTCAACTGGCTGGTCTTTAGGACATCTGTGGAAACACAGTTCACTTATGACACTCTTTGTCTTTCCTTTTACAAAGGCTACATCTGCAAAATTAAAACAGCAAGCCTACTGAAGCTCACAAGGACATTCTTTTCTTATCAGTAATTGGTGCATAAGCTATTTTATCTTAACTAGATGCTAAGCTTTGTACATTTTTTATTGTGTTTAGAGACAGTGAAACCCAACTCTTCCAGAATTTTACCCCTTTAGGGAATTTTCCTACCCGAAAGGAAAAATCTTGCTCTCTTCTAAATTCCGTGAGCATTCGTTGATGTCTTTTTAGGCCAGTGCTGCTCTCACTCAAGCACTGCATTTATAATCTCACTTAAACCTCTTAGTCCTTTAAAGTAGGCATTTCTGGCCTGTTTACAGGAAACTTAAACTTATAGTAGACTACTTTGAGAAAAGAAGGCAACAGTTTCAAGTCATATTAAATATATTTTATAAAATGCTAGTACGTATTTCTTTATACATAAAATTTGTTTTAAAAAAAGCCAAAATAACTTGTTGGGAAGTTTCAATGTTTACCTCACCTAAACTAAGGATGTCTTTGGAGAAGAGACGCTCAGAGCCAGACTAGATTCTGAATTCATTTATTGAGCCTATTACATACCCTGGGCATACCTCATGTTTTTTTGCAGTTTGCTTTATTGTGCATTGCAGTTTTTTTTTTTTTTTTAACAAATTAAAGGTTGTGGCCAACCCTGTGTTGAGCAAGTCTATTGGCATAATTTTGCCAACAGCAAAATTAGTCCCTTCGTGTCTCTGTGTCACAGTTTGGTAATTCTCTCAATATTCAAAAATATGATCTCGGTCAGGTGCGGTGGCTCATGCCTATAATCCCAGGACTTTGGGAGGCTGAGGCAGGTGGATCACT